AATTGTTTCAAGTTGGTGGGTTGTCTGTAAGTGAGAATAGGCCTTCCCCCAAGACCTCTGAGAGTGAGGGGTCATTTTCCAAGAGAGGTTGTAGATTATGTATTGGAAGGGTTTAAGTTGTGGACTGTAGGTAATGACAAGTAGAATTCTGTTGTTTTCTCTTTTGGGTCAGTCTTGAAGTAATTCATGTCTGGGTACTTTTTTGGCTCTATCAATCTGGTTTTTCACTTCTCTAGGTGGGTATTTCAGTTTTAGGAATGTTCTTTATAGATCCTGTAGGTGTTTGTCTTTGTCTGTGGGATCAGAGCAAATCTGGTTGTATCTTAGGGCTTGGCTATATACAACAGATTGAGAAATGTGTCTAGGATGGAAGCTGGAGGCATGAAGGTAAGTGTAGCAGTTGGTAGGTTTCCAATATAAGGTGGTGGAAATTTTCCCATTATATAATTGTATTGTGGTGTCAAGGAAGTGGATTTCTCATGTGGACTGATTCAGGCTGAGGTTGATGGTATGGTGGAAGTTGTTGCAATCCTTGTGAAATTCTTCAATAATCTCTTCCATGGGTCCATATGATGAAGATGTCATTCTTGTAGTGTAAGTAAAGTAAGGGCTTTAGGGGGCGAGAGCTGAGGAAACGTTCAAGGTCAGCCACAAAGATGTTGGCATATTGTGGTGCCATGCACGTGCTCATGGCTGTGCTGCTGACTTGAATATACAGATTGTCTCTGAATCGGAAGTAGTTGTGGGTGAGTACAAAGTCATAGAGCTCTGTAATCAGGTGTGCAGTGCTATCATCAGGGATGGTGTTCCTGATGGCCTGTAATCCATCTTCATGTGGAATGTTGGTGTAAAGGGCTTCTGTGTCCATAGTGACTAGATGGTATTTTGGGATAGATTACTGATGTTTTTAAGTTTCCTCAGGAAGTCAGTGGTGTTGCGGAAGTAGCTAGGAGTGCTGGTAGCATAGGGTCTGAGGAGAGAGTCAGTATAGCCAGATAATCCTACTGTGTGCCAATGCTTGAGATGATGGGGTCATCCGAGATTTTCAGGTTTGTGTATCTTGGGTAGCAGACAGAAAACTCCTGGTTGGGTACGGGGTGAGGAGGTTTAGTGTAAATTTGGTCTTGAGTAGCATCAGAGAGCTTCATGAGCAGTTGGTTCAGGTTTTTTTGGTATTCTTTAGTGGGATCACAGAAGAGAGGCTTGTAGAATCTGGTATTGGTGAGTTGTCTGGTTGCCTCCTGTTCATAATCTGTTCTGTTCATGATGACTACAGTGCCTCCTTCGTCAGCTTGATTATGACATTAGGATGGTTTTTGAGGCTGTATATAGTATTGCGTTCGGCATGACTCAGGTTATATATTGTTGTTTGCTGACAGTGTTAGCTCGAGCATGTTTGTGGAAGCACTTGATGTAGAAATCAAGACTCCTGTTATGACCGTTAGTGGGGGTCCACAAAGAAGCCTTCCTCTTGTGGGATTGGCAGGGGGGAAGCAGCAAGGTTGGTGTGTTGTACATCGGTGTGTTGGAAGTATTCCTTCAGGCAGAGGCGGCTAAAATAGGATTCCAGATTTCCACAGAACTGAATCATATTCGTAAGAGTAGTGGGGCAGAAGAAGAGTCTTTGAGATAGGACAGATTCCTTTGCTGGGCTAAGAGAGTGGTTGGATAGGTTGACAGTGTTGCTAGGTGAGTTGAAAGTATCTGGAATGAGAGATCCTGAGGCATGTAGCAGATTGGATCGTTTATTGTCCTTTTTCTTCTGAAGTGAGATGAAGTAGTGCTTGTAGGTGGTTTGTTGAAAAAGGTGTTATTAAAGAATTGCTTTGTTTTAATGAAGAAAAGAAAAGGGAGAGACTCTGATTATAGCTTCTAAGAACCTTGGGGAAATATTTAGCACATGCTTATCTCAGGGTATGTCTAGAAGGTGATATAGAAGATAAATAGATACCAGGCATTAATCTAAAAAAATGTATTTATCTTACTGAGAATCCCAAAAGGCCTGTTACAAAAATAACTAGTAGTAACCCCCTTCTGCAGATGACTAAAGAAATGGAGACATCATGACATACAGAGGTTCCTTTGCAGAGTCAAGAGTTTCCTGACTTTCAGTTCTTGCTCTAGGTGCCAAATAACTGCCTCCCTGTACTGGTTTGTGGAGAGCAGCTTAGCAACTAACATAATGGATAAAACATTGATTGACCTTTCATCTTTATTTAACTCTGTATAGAAGCTAAGTTGAGACACTAGGTAAAATAAATTTGGACCTCAGTTTGAGATCTCTAGTGAACAGTAGTCCATATCATTAAACAAGCACATATGTCACAATTTGGCATGGTTGTCACGCTCCCCTCTAGAGGGACCAACTGATCCTGCACAAAATTAACTACCCTACCACTAAATTTTACCTCTACAACCTAGAGAATAATACAGCTCTTCTAGGTCACAAGCCACTAAGCAGCATGGCTGTAGTTGCAGCATTCATGCTGTGCTAGTAAATGGTGCTGCCACAGTTTCCATTACTGCTTGTCAGTTAAGCTCAAGATGCATTTAAAATGTAACCAGTGTGCCAAAGATTTAAATTAGATTTAATTTACATAGATCAAGGGAACAAATCAATATAATTAGTCAAAAGTCACATTGACTAAATTCACATTCTTGTCACAATGGGTCATATTGTCACATTGATTTTTTTATTTTATTTTTAAAGCAGAGTTCTTTATTGATTAATGACCCAGTATGGTTTATTTCCTGAAACATTATGGTTGCCAGGCATTATAGGGTATTGCCTTTTTAGTACAGGAGGCCAGCAAAATTATCATTGGGCATCATTTTCAGCAGTGCTGAGCACCCAGAACTCCAGTTAAAGCAGTGGAAGATGCTAGTTCTGAGAATACCTGAAAATCAGTCCTGGCAAACCTGACAAAATGCATCTTGACACTTGATACCTGGATAATGCTTTAAGAGCAATAAACTTTACTTGAACTTTATTAGGAAGGACATATGTTGTTAAACCTGAATACTAAAAAGCTGAATGACATTCATAGCTTCCTTTCAAAACATTTAAGATTTACCTCTACTAATGCCTTCTAATCCTGTTGATATGTTTTACCAATGGGGTTGTTTTAATATTGTGTGTATATATAGCTTTTATGTTTAAATGATATGTTTTACCAATGGGGTTGTTTTAATATTGTGTATATATAGCTTTTATGTTTATCAGCTTTTATTTAAATCAGTTATATATATCAAACAGGCATTTAGTTAGTGTCAACTAAAACAACTTTCAGTCTTTTGTAGCTATTCTATTGATTAAAAGGTGTTTTCAGGTGAGGGCTTTAAGCCATTTTCATGATTGTTTCACCATCATAGGTTGCCCTTGTTTGCCTCATCAGAGTTCAGAAGGGGTAAACAAAAGAATTCCTTGTGGTAACAGATGAAGATTAAGGCAGCTTTGAGCCTCTGTGTGAAACATAACTACCATAACAAAGATAAATACAAAATTCTAAGAGACCAGAACTGTAAGTCACTAATAAAAATTTCAACAACAACAAAATGAAAAACAGAGACCGTGGGGGTATTAAGATAAATGGAATAACTATTCTTGAACAATAATCAGTGTATTATACAGTCTTTATATTTTATAACTACACTTCTGAATTATGCGATAGCATGGTATTAAAAACAACCCCACAAGTTATCTATTGTGTTATGTGCCTTATGCCTCAGGTGCTAAAGAAGTTCACTCGAAATGTTCACGCTAATCTTTTTCATCCATGTGTGGATTTTTTCCATCCACGTGTGGATTTTTTCCATCCACGTGCAGAATAATTTTTATGTGCATTAAGGAATGTGCAATTGTAACCACCAGTAGGGGAAAAAACCTGCATGTGGACAATCTGCTTATCACCTGGGTGGCCTTTGAATCTCTCTACAGCAGCCACATAAGCATGTAGTTTATATGTACCAATATGGAGATGGCGTGTGACACATCACTTCCATTTTGGTGCATATAGATGATGTGTGGTGGGAGTGGGGCTGAGTTGTTGGGTGGGGGGATGAGAGAACTAGCTGGGGCCACAGGCTCAGGTGAGGCTGGGAATGAGGAGCTTGGAGTTTGGGAGGGTGCTCAGGGCTGGGGCAGAGTTTTGAGATGAAGCTGTGGCTAGCGATGAGAAGTTTTGGGCATAGGCTCCCCCCGGGGAGACTTTCCCTCTTCTCTCACTGCAGCAGCTCCTAGTCAGCTGAGAGGCATCTCTCTGCCAGTTGTGGCAGGTCCAGTAATGCTAGGTTAGGCTGAACAAAGGGGCACCTCTCTCCCAATTACCGGAGGTCGATGCTGCTAAGGATGATGTGTGTGTGGGGGGGAGGGGGGGGGAGAACATTGAGGAGGCATCTTGCCATCAGGGTGCTGTTGTGGATGGGGGAGAGGTACACTACCCCAGCCCCAGCATGGGTCTCACCCGACCACAGCTGTGGCAGCTCCCTGCATGGCAGCCTTGAGATCCCGCATGGGACTCATTAGGCAGCTGAGCAGCTGCACAGATTAGAGGGAAACTTGATGGGAACTGAACTTTTTTCTCTCCCAGAGTGATAGTCTAGTTCTAGTAAGTCAAGGTTTGAGGTATGTTTGAGTGTGGTGAGGAGACTTGCACGATTTCTATCTTAACAGTACCTATGCTGTAGGTGAAGAAGACAGGATTTGGGATTCCAGAGCTATCATGCACTTTTATAAGCACTCTGGGGCTAATCTGAAGACAGTTGACATCAGTGGGAAGTTTTGCATTGACTATGGCAGGCTTTGGTACAGATCATACATTAACATGAAAAAGAAAATAAAAAATAGCTTGAATTTCTATGTGTAAAGTTGCCTTTGGAAACTGGAGAAACATACCTCTATAATATAAGTAGCAGTAGATATGTGAATAGATTCATGTATTTTTCCAAATAATGAGCACAGATTATGTATGCCTTCTTACACATGATTAATCTTTTTTCAGGTTGAGTTTGAGTGGCTTAGGCAGTTTTGGTTTCAAGGCAAACGCTATATGAAGTGCACTGGTTGGTGGTCTGAGCCAATGGCTAAATTGGAAGAGTTTTGGAAAAAAATGGAGTTTATGGTAAGTATTAGCAAATAGCCTAAACTATTTTAGAACCTAATTCTGCAGACTTCTTAAGAACTTAATTCTTCTGCATTGCATGAAGAACGTCCATTGAAACTGCTTTGTAGAATCAAGCTTTAAATTTTCATTATTTGTATACTCTTTATAATGCCAGTCCTTCCTTCCAATTCTCCCATAGAGCAGGAGAAGGAATAATATAGCAAAACTAAATGAACAAAACAAAAACAAAAAAACAGGAGATGCTTCTTACAGTTTTTCTGACTACCATAAAGTATGATATCAAAGTACTGTATTATTACTTAATACTAACTTAATGATTTGTCTTCACTGGAAATTTTCAGCTCGTTTCCCAGTTTTCAGATAGCACCACTGATCTATTGGTAATAACATCTGTATGCACTTTCGCCAGTTCTTGTGCTGGCCTAAGAATGGAGAAGAATGCTAGTGAATGCTAAACAGTGTCTTGAGCAATGCTAGTTAAGTGGCTAAAATCCCCATGTCCTTTGAAAATATATCTCTGTCTTTGTCTACACTGGGGATTTCTCCCTGTTGCAGCCATTTGTGACCAGCCATTAATGTAGCTACACCTTTGCAATCTGTGATGTCTTACTGCAAAATATTTAGAAAATTCCGTACCAACACAGTTTACCATAGTGTCAAGTATTGCCTATCTACAATAAGTTTGTGCACTTGTGACTGGCTGTAGATGACTATAACTAGGGTCAGGTCTCTGCATGGAATGATTTGAAAGTAAGATATAATAGTAAAGAGTTACTAGCATGGACAAAACTTATACCAGCAAACTTATACTGTTTGCTGGTATAGCTTCTTCCAGTACCCTGAATGAAATAAGTTACACCAGCAAAAATGTAGTTTTTGTTGTTTACTCTAGGAATTTTTCACTTTACTGCTATGTTGATCAGATATCACACTTCATCACACATCTGACTGACATTGCTATGTTGGCATAACTTTGTAGCCCTAAACTTGAACAAATGCCCATCGAAATCAATGAACCTGAATATCTCATTTATGTAATTAGGTTTTAGTGGCATTGAATTTGAGTCCAATCCTGAGAGTTACAACTCATCAGTGGTAGTTATAGGTACACAGATCAGGCCCCATGTGTAACTTTCAATTAGAGCAAAGTTTCTTCCTTCACCAACAATAGCAGATGACAGTTTGCAATGCACCATGAACAGAGAAATGTGTTTGCCTACTGGAGCTCAAGTTCTACAATATGAGCTTTTTCTGCAGCAACTGATATTGCAAATACTCAAAATACTGCTGAAAACCAGGACTTAGATGTTTGTTCTTCTTCCAGCTGCACAAAGAAATCAGTGTGTCCTGGATTTTACCATAAAAAAGGAAGTGATTTGTAGCTATTTTATTTTTTAATGCATTTATCTTTTCTGTTTAAATCCACTTGCACTCCAATTTTGCTGATGTTTTTGGAACTCACATTACTTTTATCTTCTTTTAAAGAGCTTTTCAGTTTATTTTTCTTTGAAATAACCGTCTACTTTCTTGTAACACAAAGATTTGGGGAAGCAGGCACAAGATTGTTTGATTGTTATTTTATAACCATTGTGTGTTGGGAACTGGGAAAAACAGCAAACTCAGGATTTCTCAAGAGCTAGGTTTTCTGCAATTGGTGTGACATTACCATGTGTCTCTAATTAGAAGCATGGTGGCGTCAGTGTATCTCCTTTCAACAGGCCTCAGGATGATATTTATCAGCAAATTGAAGGTTTAGGCCAAGACAGAAGCTGCTTCTAATTTAAATTTTAAAAATTGCTTTAATGTTTTATGATTTCTAACAGATTTATCACAATTAATTTCAGCTATTGAGGGAGACAGTAGAGAATTTTAATTGAGAATGTCTGTTGTTTTGATGAGTCTTTAAGTAAATTTGGTGCTTACTGGATGTGGGACCCAGAGGCAGCCTTTTTCTCTTCTGTTCTTTCTGTTTATACCTGCAGCATGTACCACATTCATTTAAAAACTGACAGTAGGGGGCATTGTTGAGCTGTAGTTTTAATGAAACAACAAAACTGAGAAAATACATAGAAATGTAGCATTAACTGTCAAGAATTATCCCTGTTGCTTCAAGTTAGCTGTAATCTCTAAGATTCCATAACACAGGAAATCAATTGTGGGTTAACAAATTCAACAGCAATTTAACATTAAAAAGTGCAGTGTTTTGGTGCACATTTGGATTCTATTGAAATAAGTTAAATCAAAACATTTTTGGAGGTACCTGCCAGTCTACAGTCAATACATTTCTGTAAATTATAATCATTTTAACTGAATGAATGATTATAAAATCTTTTAGTGGATAATTTAGAAAAAAAGCTAAATTTTATGTGATGTGCTACTGCTAATTTTGTCTGTATGGGAGCACTATTTAAGTATTTCAGGAAATACTTTTAAAAAGCATTGTGTTTTTTCTTCACCTCTATATGAGTTGTACAACTCCTATGCATTTTATATGTATTTATCTAGAATGTTATGAATGCAGGTCTTAGACTCTTTGTTTTTATTTTATGTTTTCCTGTTTCAAAATTATTTTTTTTAAATTATACTTTTCAAAAACTGCTTCTGATTCTGCTAGCTGTATTTTCTCCCACATCACAACAGAATAATAATTTAAAAAGTTTAACCCAATGTTTCCTAAACTCAGGGCTCTATTTAATACTTTTATACCCTGTTTTATCATAATGTTTATTCCTGGCATTCCTTTCCCTTAGGATAGTTTTACCCAGGGCTTACTCTTGTGATGTAAATGTTAAACCTTTCATTTGAATGACATTCTGATAAAACATCACATTTCCCCATAATATTACCTCATGAATTTGAGCCATTAAATCCAAAGCAGGTTGACCAGTCTTCACCTTCCTTCCTCCCCCCTTAAAAATATGAAGGCTATTCAAATTTTTGTATTTAAAAAGAAGTCATCCAAGATTAACACATTATCATGTGCAACATCAGGATAAGTGCTGACTGAATTCAAAGAAAGAGTTACCATTTGAAAGGGACTGTACAAGCTTTGCTTTCTGGGTAAAGAGAAGTCTGAAAAGCTGAAATCTCATGTGATGGGAAGAAGTCTTGCTATGGCTGTTCTGAGATTCAGTGGAGAGACAATTTGTCTCTCAGGATCTGATATCATGCAAACCTCACAAACTGACATTTATTTTACCTATAAAATGTTTAATACTGCACCAAAGCTGTGGGAAAAGAAAGAATTAAAAATAAGGAAATGGGGAAACCTAAGTCTTTTTAACTCTAAATTAAATTTGGTAAAGTAAAATGTAAATCATGGATACACTTTGTTTGAGTTGAAAAGTGAATCGACTTTGATTTTGTATATAAATGACAAATGTTTAAGATTTTTGTTAACATATCTAATGTTCCTTTTTAAAAAATGAAGACACTAGTAGCATTTTATAGGATAAATTGTATTTCCTACTTTGACAGTCCATTTAGCAATGGAGCAACATATTTATATAGCAGTTGGCCTTAATAACCTTTATTGACTTTAGTGGGTATGAGCCAAGACTGCAATTATTAAAATGTATCAGTTTCATTGCAATATAAAATTACAACATATATAATTATGTTAGGTAGGCTAGGCTCCATTTAATCCCACCCATTTATTTAGAGATTTGGCAAGAGGAGGAAAATCATGGCACTAAAATGTACAGAAATGTAGAAGTGACTGGGAGTTGTATTTAATAACAACTGTTGGCCTCCTGTAAAAAGGTCTCACTTGAAGCATGAAACGTACAGGAGCTAAGCTTGAGCTCTTGGCAATTAATTGTCAATAAAGTAGTCTAAATTCAGGAAATCTCATGCCATTTGTTTTACTGTTTTGGCATTCTTAAACAGTTAATAATTATTAAATACAACATACCATTCATTTTAATCTATAAATGTTCTGTACATACAGGAGTATATAAATTGTATGTGATTGTAATAAATTAAGTGTCATTTCATACAATCTGGTATCTTTAAACACAATTGTTTCATCTTACAATTTGGGGGGATTTTATTATTATTATTATTATTATTAATTATTATGGGTAAGTAAAATAAATCCTGAGCTATAATCTAGAATCATAGAATCATAGAACTGGAAGAGACCTTGAGAGTCATCAAGTCCAGCCCCCTGCTCTAGGCAGGACCAATTCCAACTAAATCAACGCGGCCAGGGCTTTGTCAAGCTGAGACTTAAACACCTCTAGGGATGGAAACTCCACTACTTCCCTAGGTAACCCATCCCAGTGCTTCACCACTCTCCTAGTGAAATCGTTTTTCCTAATATCCAACCTGGACCTCTCCCACCACAACTTGAGACCATTGCTCCTTGTTCTGCCATCTGTCACTACTGAGAACAGCCT